GGAAGAGCTGCGATAGTTTAGCTTGATAAAGCAACTAAATAAACAGTTAAATGAATGTTTTTCATAGGTTGTTATACCTGCATGGTTATAAATCACTCTGAAGTCTTACCAAGCTTAAGGCTTTTTGACTACATACCTATACAAACACCTTCCAAAACCACCAGAAATATTTATCAAGAGAACAAATAAACAAAGTCTCCGCTACATGATCTTAGACAATTTAGTAATATGAAAAAAAATACATTGAGAAAAAACTTCCATGAGTCTGAGATGCAAGAAGATGAAACAATTAGCTAAAACTTTCCTCTGGGGTTATTGCAAATGAGCCAAACTACAGGATTTTAAGGAAAACTGCAAGCACATCTTGTTAAACACACTGAATGTTCACAGAGCAGCAAGAACAGAGAACACTGCACTCCAACAGCTGTTGCTACTTTGAAATAATTGCACAAACCTTAAGAATAGCCTTAATCTATTTAATAAGCAAAAGCATCAGTGGAGCCCAGCTTCCAACAAGTTTATGGCTCCTTATCCCTCCCCTCCTCAGTATTATGAGTTCCTTCCCATCTCCAAAAAAGTGATCCTTGATTTATTCCCTTACACACATCCTAGCCATACAAGAAGGGAACTGGCAGTATGTAGCCTGACTGAGAATTACGCACATGCTGTTAAGTCCTGTGACCAGAGAGGTGCTAGTTCAGTAGCTAAGTTGTAATCACCTTTCCTTCAGTGGGCAATACTAAATTGCATTATTTCACCTCTACCCACATACCCATTTTCTTGCAACTCACAGAAAGGTAAGCATAACTTACCACATGCTGCAGGTGATATCAACAGCTGTAGTACATGATACAGAATGTAACCACATGCATCACGCTCCCTATATGCCACAGCCTCACTTGTTAACCATGTCTGATACCCTCTGCTACAGTCGCACTAGCCAGTTTCCATTCACTGATGTTTGTGCTGAAAAGCACCAGACCTCTCTTTGAGTTCAAGTCTGTAAAATAGCTAGAATGATGTTTGGCAAGTAGATATATTCATGATCAAGGAGATGATGATGTGACCAAAGAAGTGTGACAGATTAAAGAAAATTTGAAGCAACAGATTTAGTAACTAGACACCTTAATTTAAGAAGTCCAGTTAAAAAAGTAAAGTCAAATACTGGACTATCACTTTTGACAAGGTTGTATTTAAATAAACTGAAAACTAATTAAATTCTTATGTCAGCATTTTAACTGCATGATATGCTAGACAAGCATCAGATGTGCTTTATGCAAGCGACCTGGGATAGCCCTAGAAACTATGAAAGACTACCATCATTAACATGCACTCCAACTCAAGTGGCAACTTTCCGGAAGCAAGATGACGCAAGCTGAAGGAAAAGAGTCACTGTGCAAACCACGGGGAGAGAAGACACCCAACAGTGTCCTAACACCATTCTTAAGCCCGCAGAAACTGGCTCATAGTCCAGTATGAGTAGTAACTCAAACAGGCAAAGCTAAATCATCCCCATGTTAAAACAAAGAGAGAGAACTAGTAAGAAAAGGTATTCTAAGCAAACATAGTGACAACTCCTCTGCAATAATTACAATGTACACTACCAGATAAAAGAGCAATATGTTAAATAGCAAGTCCCTTTCACAACACAAACAGCTGCTCAAACATATTCAATGGGCTTTTTAGCCTTAAACTGATCTAGAAAATATTAATCCACAGGAAACATAGGCAAGTGTTTCTGATTTTCTAAGCTGCAAACACTGAGCAGCATGAGCATGAAGTGTCCACAGATGGTAAGGCCCTTCCTAGTGTTTTTTTAAATGAACAGAATTCCTGTAAATGGAGTGCACGAGCCTTATGCGCACTTACTGTGAAAGGAAACAAGACAGAATTCCACAAGCAGGATCACTTACTCAAAAGAGTAAAGTTTAAGAGTAGATGGATGCATCTAAGAAAGTTAATAAAGCACTGTGAACTCATTTTATACTACACTATTAAATTAACATTATGCACTTAGAAGTCAATATTTCCTTCTATTATTCTATTTTCAGTTTGTGCTAATATATTTAACTATTTGCATTCACTGGTCAAGACAAATATCTGAAACACTTCTTTGAAAATACTGCCAGATTTCAATAATGTTTTAAAATAATATAGTCTTCTAATAAAAGTAGCCTGGGAAGATCTTAAAATCCAGGGAGAATTACATGATTTGCTATCACAACTCCTGACTGAAGTAGGCAATGTGAAGTATCTCCTTGTGCACAAGATTTGAAAGGTCATCTCAGGAAAAGAATCACAACATAGCAAGTTTAAAAAAAAAAAAAGCAGTGAAATAATATAATCTGCTAAACTACTTTAAACACTACTGTTATATCTAAAACAATGACAAGACACAAGAGACTTATCACATTCTTATCTGTGCCTATAGGAGCAGCAAAGGGCATCTTGTTAAAAAACTTAACTCCTGCAGGGACAGCTTACAGTGTACTGAAATGAACATACTGAAGATCTAGCCCATTGTCGTAAACCAATATTACTCTTGAATAGAAGAGCATGCTTTTTTAAAAAGAATCATAAAGTAGTAAGGAGAAATGCAAAACATTTACTAGCTTTTGTTAGAGTTCTACCTAGCACAATTTAATGGACAGCAAATCTAGATTTTACAAATTAATGGCCCTTGGTGCAAGTTTTTAAGTTTATTACATTGCATAGACTTATGTAAGCTGGTTACTAGCATGCTTTTCCATTATAATAAAACCAGCAACACACAGCAGTAGTATAAAAATAAATTAAAACAGCAAGAGGTGACCATTAATTACCTTTTAACACTACACCTCAGCCAGTTATTAACACACTGTAAAGAGATGCAGACGCTAAATGAAATAGTTTTACCGCGAGTACCTTCTCAGCCACTTAGAAGCACTCACCCTGCACAGCCTCAAGCTACATAGAGCTGACAGCACTCAGCTGACACTCAGACCTCACCAGCAAGGAGAAAGTTCCTGCTGCTTGCCGCCCTCATCACCTCACGGCTGTCTCTACCCAGGGGATTTACGTCTTCCCTTCCAAACTCTATCAACCAACCCTTGCTGGCAACAAGGGCAAAAACAAACAGGAAATAACTATACGGGTGTTTTTCTTAATTGCTCCAAAAGAACGGAGAAAAAGATAGAAATCGTGTACGAGACTTCAGCTTTTACCGTAGTCAGGACTTCATTAACTAGACACAGACACAAGCTCCCCGAGGGCTTGAAACCGTTCCTGGTTTCGCTTAGCCCCCAACTACTCCAGCCAGTAAGAACAGCAGCAGTACCATTTCCCGAAGAGAAGTTGAACGCATAAGCGCTTATGTTTAACCTAGAAGCTCCTGAGAAAAGTTTAATAAAAGCTTCCTTACACCTCCCCTGCACCTCAACCCCCCGAAACCGAGCGCCTTTACCTCACACTTCCTCCACCACAGAGCTCCAGCGCGCACGCGCACACAGCCTCCCTGACCCCTCCCTCCTTGCCGGTCACGCACCGCGGCTGGCGCACTCTAGCGGGCTCGAGCGTTCCGCTGCCACGTGACCCACGCGCAGTTTAGGGGCCGAGCTGGTCGCCAAGGGAAGAGCTAAGGTGTCTGCGACTCGCGAGACGAGTAGGTGAGCGCGTGCCGGCCCTTGCCGCCAGGCGGGTCCTGCCCTGGCCGTTAGCCGTTGCGGGACGTGGCGCGAGGAGGGTAACCGTTGCTGAGGCGCGTGGGTGCTCTCCGTGCCGGCCGGAGCCCTTTCTCTCAGGCGGCGGCGGAGTTGCTGTGCTGGGCTGAGGGGAAGGGTTAGGTTCAGAGGGGAAGGCTATGGGTACTGCTTCCGCTTCACCCAGCCCCGGCTTTAGTTCACGAAACAAGCGCGAGCTGGTAGGCGAGGGGACTGCGTTTTCGGTGCCTGGAAGTTACTGCCCCTGTCTCTCTCCCGAGTGGCTCTAATCTTTCCTATCCGCCGGTGGGGCTTTGCCTCGCACCGAGGGGTGGCGAGCGGCTGAAGTAACCCGCTTTCCCCCGGGTTTTTGCAGGCTTTCCTGTGGGGGGAACTCTTAGCGGCGGTGAAGCTTTCCACTGGAAACATGGCCATGGAGCTCGGCAGCGGGGGAGAGCCAGGTGAGGTCTCTGCGAGCAGTCGGCTTCGTGGGCTGCCTGCCTGCTCCTGACACATGGCGGTTGGTGCAGGTGCTGCCCCGGGGCTGTTCGAAGGATGGAGCAGAGGAGCCGAGGTCTGGACGCTGTCTCTAGGAGCTGGGGTCAATTTCTACAGAGCGTAGAAACCCCTTTGCTTATGGTTGTAGCAATGAAGATTGATATTCTGTAGCTTTTAGTGAATAACAGCATCAAAACTAATTTTTAGTTACCTGAAGACTAATAATTAAAAACTGCAAATGAGGGTTATAGCCAAAAACAGATACTTTTTTTTGTGATAATGCCTCTTTTCTCTATTTAAGAAGCTACTGTATTTCCCGTGCTTAGCTTACACCTGAAAGGCAAAATGCTGTCTTGCTAGTTGCTCATAAAATTTGCTTTACAGACCAAAATCAATATTTTTAATTATGTGTTATTTGTTATAATTTTGATAATTTTAATGTAAGCTTAATATGACTGAATCAGAGTACCATTTAATTATTACTAGCAAAATACTGGCAAAAATTGGTTCTGCACAGTTTATATTCCTATAAATAGAGAATGGGTTGATGTGTGGTCCTGAGAATGTTATTGTCCTTGTTGCTAATTAGCGCTGCAGGAAGACTTGTTAGCACAGCAGGAACTAGGACAAGATCACAGTGCATAAAATGCTATGGCTGTACATCACTCAAAGATCAAAATTTCAATTGATACTAAACTTTGTATGACAGCTTTGCGTGGCCAAAGGTGAAAGACCAGCTCTTGATTCCCATGACCTTAGTAGCAGAAAAACTTCCTTCTGAGCCAACAGAGTCATCCTGTCTCAAAAGTCCAAATCTTTATTGAGCTTTGCATGGGTATTTGTTACACTGTGATGTGAACAAATAATGGATTTTCAAATATTGGTGTTTTGTTTTTTCATGTGTATTTAATTTGTCTGTGTGTAGCTTCTTATTTTGTAAATTTTTAGGCTCTATACAGAGCTCAGACTAAATTCACTGTGAAGTGGTAGGAGTTGCCTTTTCTATCGAGTTCAATTTTCTCTTTCAAAAACTTCATACATTTTGAAAGGTGCCAAATGACAAATTGGAAGTTGGCTTGCATGCCAACTGAAGCATAAGTTATTTGAGGCCTACTCTAAGTCTGATATATGGATTCATGTTTTTCTTGTTTCATGAATGTGAAATCAGAGTTCTAAAATGCTGAATGTGTGTAATACACAGCACTATTATATTTAGCTTTGTAGAATAAATATTTGTTGTGTTAAGTTCGTAACTGTAAAGAAGGTTCTCAGAATGAAATGCTAGTCTCTGGCACTGATCAGTTACAAATTGAGTTTTACCTGAATGTTTTTTCCAGTATCAGCAGCCAACCCTGTGAATAATAATAATTCATTCTATTACGTGTTTTTGAGATAGGCTACTAAATACATAAACTTTTATCAGAATGTATTTAATGATTCACTGTTGAAGGTGAGTACATCTGTAAGGAGCGTTTAAGATTTGTCCCTTTTTGCACCTATGGCCTCTCATGTTTGCTGACTGCTTGGGAGCAGCTACTTTCCCCTTCCTGTTCCTTGGCATCCTTTTACTATTACCTCCTTCCTATCCCCTCCGTCTTTTTGCTATATCCTCCTTTAGAAGGTTAGAACCAGAAAAAGAACCATGGGATGTCTATCAAGAAAAATAGGCAAGAAGTTGTTTTAAATCAAAATGTATGCGTTACCTTCCTGACTTACTTTTTCTTCCTCTTTACCCATTCCAGTTACAAAGATGTCACTCATTCTTATAAAATAGACTAGACTATTTCTGTTAGAAGAGACCTACAACAATCATCTAGTCCAACTGCCTGACCACTTCAGGGCTGACCAAAAGTTAAAGCATGTTAAGGGCATTGACCAAACACTCAGAGGCTTGGGGCATCGACCACCTCTCTAAGAAGCCTATTGCAGTGTTTGACCACCCTCTCAGTAAAGAAGTGTTTCCTAATGTCCAGTTTAAACCTCCCCTGGAACAGCTTTGAACTGTTCCCATGCGTCCTGTCACTGGATACCAGGGAGAAAAGATAATTGTCTCCCTCTCCACTTCCCTTCCTCAAGAAGCTGCGGAGAGCAATGAGGTTGCCCCTTAGTTTTTTCTCTAGACAAGCCCAGAGTCCTTAGTCACTCCTCGTAGGACCTTGACCAGTTTTGTTGCTGTCATCTGGACGCGTTCAAGGACCTTCGTGTCCTTAAATTGTGGGACCCAGAACTGCACGCAGTACTTGAGGTGAGGTCGTACCAGTGCTGGATACAGTGGGGTAATTGCATCTTTTGACCAGCTGGTTATGCTGTGGTTGTGTTAGATCAAAGAACACTCCATGAACAAATGGAAAGAGCTGTTATTTCTCCCTTCAACCTTCTGCTGGTTCATTCATTTGTAATACAAGTAATCTCTGAAATCCCAGTAGCCAAAGTTAGATGAGTAAGCAAGAGTGATGCCTTTGTTGATGTTCCCAGCTCAGCAGTGTGAAATTTCATTGCTCATTATGCTTTGCTTCTTTCAGAAAATGCAGATACTGGCATACTGCAGTTCTTCATTCTTGTTTGGGTTTCTTCTGGATATACTTGAGTGCTCAGATCCATTTATTAATGAAGCTCTCTTGAGCTAAGTTTGTTGAAAGTTTATTGAGAACAGCAGGGTTGAGTTCCCAACAACAGGTTAATTGTCAGACATCCAGCTAATTGAATTGGACACACAATGTGATTTGTTGCAGTTAGACCTCATGAATCATTAAGATGTGTTTGTGGGCTTTCTAGGCAGAAACTTCCTTTTCTAAAAGAAAACAGAAGGAATATGAAAGACATAGAATTCATTATTACATAGTCTTTGTAGGCTTTTTCAAGTCTTACTTTAATTAAAATAATTGTGCTAAATGGAAGAATTTTATGAAGCACATTGTATGCCTTCAAAGCACTACACTCAAATATATTTCTGACGGCCAGTCAGGTTTATTTAGATAATGGCTCATGCTGTAGCTATGATTCTCAAACTTTGTATTCTTCAGATCCCAGGCTAAATACGGTACTTCGACAGTATGAAAAAGATGAGATTTTGAGAGCTACTGCTGAGCAGGTATGTGAACGCGGGGATGGAAGTAGTAAGAAATTTTGTGATGAGGTTTTGAGACAAACATCTTTGCATACATAGAGCACAGCCCACTTCAACATGGTCTGATCTTGCTTTGGGTCCATCACACAAGTCTAGACTTGCTTATTGTTTTTCCAAGCAGAGGCAGAATAAAACTGTCATAATAGTGAATTCTGGGGTTTTTTGGTGCATTTTCAAAAGTTTGTCATACGCAGGACATATCCCTGAAATAACATTGTTTTTGAATTTAGTAGACTTTTTCAATTTTATAGAGTTTTCTAAGAGATTGGTCTCATGTGAAGATAACATTTTTGTGCTGGGTACTGTAAGCCTGTCTGAAAGCCTGCAGAAGCTAGGGTATCAGTGCTTTCCTGATGCAGAGATGCATGGAAATGAACTTAGCACTTACACAAACTTATGCTTGTTCTTTTAAGAGGAAGATGATTCCAGCTCATATGCAATTATGCTTTATATCAGAGCATCTCCAGGGAAAAAAGAATTGCAACTTTTTTTCAAATTGGACCAATGCTCAAGGATTTTTTTTTTACCATAGGCCTGGAAGTGATCATGTGGGTTATTGTGTATGACTACAGTACAGGCAGAACAACAGCTTTGGGTTGCATATAAAAATTTAAAACTAAATGCAGTCATGTGCAAGTACTAATACATGAAGTGTACCATTACAGAAAAATGCTGCTGGTGGTGATGGCATATTGAGATCCAGGATGATGGACCAAAGGTAACTGATTCCAAACGATAAGTGGGAATACTACAAAGTATTCAAAAGAAATTGCCATGTGCTTTTAAAAGCATAAATACCCAGGTGAACCTGGTCTTATGTACATGTGTTCAGAGCTCTGAGAACTTGTGAATGGAGGTCTGTAAAATTCTTCCTGTAGCAGTTGTTTTTAGATACTATTCTGATTATTTGGTAAATAAAATATATTGTTTAATAATCATTGTAATTTCCTGTCTGTTACAAAAATAACCTTTCTTGTTAGCTTTTAAGGCATTATCACTCCAGACTAATAGAGAATTTTCAGAATTACTGTCTAGTGGAGGATGTCCCTGCCCATGGCAGGGTGGTTGGAACTAGATGATCTTTAAGGTCCCTTCCAAACCATTCTGATTCTATGATTGATGCCAATTATAAAAAATATTAGGAAGGAAAAAGTATATAAGTAGAGCTACATTATTTTATGTAGTCTTATAGGCTACTTTACTGTTGTATGTAAAAGTGGTAGCAAAGTCTAGTCTTTGATAGTTTAAGATTCTATGGATGAAATACTAATGTTGTACTAATGCTCATATATAATGTCCCATGTTCTAGTTCTGTTATACAGGAAATTTCCTGTTAATGATCATACTTTGAAAGTAGTAATTAAATTTGTTCGTTTGATTCTAGTGAATGTCGTGCTTGGAAATAAAGACGTGACTGTTTTGTTCTTTTCTCTAGATTAAGAATTCTGTAAAACTAGGTAATTATCAGAACAATGTTTGAGCACTTACGAAATTTATTCTAAGCATATTATTCAACTTTTTAGCTTGTCAACTCTAGTCACAGAGTATGATGAACACTTGGAAGAAATGAGAGAACAGCTGCATGTTTATCAGGTATGTATGTTCCTAACGTTTCAGACTATGTATTCTTAGTATTTTATAGTGTTAATGTCTGGGCCATTAGTTTTTATCAGTAAAGGAAAGTATACCTGTGCCATGCTTCACAAACTTGCTGGACTGTGGTCTGGCTCAAATGGATGAACAGAGAGCTTCTGTGAAAGGTTGAGGGATTGTCTAAATTGCGCAGATTACGGTGCGTTTGGAGAAGTAGTGTTGTGAAATGAAACATGCATGTTTTATTTCTCTAGACGTGCTGATATGGTTGCACATATTTTCCTAGGTGATGCTCAGATGAGGCAGCTGTTCCCACTTTCCTTACAGGTCTGATCTTAGCTTTGCTGTCCAGCTCAGTCCTGCAAGTGTAGATATACTCAGCCTTCTTAATTCTTAATAATTTTTCAGATTCAAATAATTCTTTAAATGTTTATTATCATGGAGGCTGAGATGGAGGCAGACTGTATTCCTTTCAACCACAGAAAACCGAAACTTTTTAATGCTTCATATGATCACCAAAAAGCAAAGTGATATGTTTAATAATTAAAAGCTGTGGCATACAGAAACAAATTTTTACTTGTGATCTACATGCAGAAGTTACACTCTGATTTTGGTTTAGTGCACTTAATTTGTTTGATCTGTCCATCATAAAGATTCTGGAAATACAGTCTTCAAGCTTGGCTGATTTCAGAAGGCAATAGAAGCACTATGGTTTTGTTGCATTGTTTAATTAACAAAACAGTCCATTTGACTCGAGTTGCTGAAGTGTCTCCTCAGTTAATTCCTAAACTCTTACTTCAAATGCTTACCTCATAAAAGGTGAGAGTTATTCACTGTATCCCTGAAAGAACTTGAGTTATTTAGGAATCAATCCGTAAGAGCTATAAGAATTCCAAAAGGTAAGTATAATGCTCATAAAAACTTCTGAATGCTCAGGTATAACAGGATGTAGCAGCTGCTAAATTTTAAGTGGCATCCTGTGACTTTCCTTAAAAAAGAATGTGACTTTCATTTACTGTATTATGCTGAATTAAATTGTCCATCTTTTACAGTTTGTCAGAATTAAAAGATGAAAAAAAAATCAAAGTTTATGTCACTTAAATGAGTGCTTCCTCTTGCATGGTTTTGTATTAGGCACAAATGAGTGAGATGAGACTAAAATTTGAACAAGTCACCAAGGAAAATGAAAGGTAAATAATTGCACTGCTCTCTTATTACTTCTGTTTTTCTTGATCTCCAAACCTTAAAAAACCTTTTTCTGGGACCTTGAAATCTTTTGAATCTACTTAACCGTTAAAGACTCTAATGTTAAGCTCATGGTTATGAGATCTTCAAGTGCTTAATACAGATTACAGCACCAGGTTTAGGAGATTTAACCATATCTCTAGAACTAGATATTAAACTATTTCAAGCTATTGTGTTTATAGAACATAACTTCATAGATTTAAATATGAGTTAGAAGTAAATAGCATGTACAGATTGAAGGTACAGTATACTTCAGTTGTTAAAAAAGTCCGTGTTAAAGAAATACTTTGCTGAACTCAGTTCTTTGAATTTCAGACTGCATGCAGAGTTGAAAGAGGCTCTTGAGAAGCAACTGGAGGCTCTTCCTTTCATGCCTTTGGGAACTGATATTCCTGCAGATGAAGGAATAGTGAGAAACCTTCAAGAACAACTACAACTGACGAATCAAGTGTGTGAGATGAAACATTTGTATTGTTTTATTTCTCTTGTGCCGTGGCAGATGAGGGGAAACAGGTTTATTTCTTCATTCAGAATTAATTTGTTCAGAGTTCTTGAGACTATTTTGAGGCTGCCTTGAGTTTCTGTTGCTAAAGAAACAAGTAGTTATGCTTTCAACTTAAAAACCTGAAGGAACTTCTCTCCTAGATTCATATAGGAAGTTTTTAGTACTAATTTGTGCCTATAATTTTACCTAGTTGCCTTGATCTTTATATTGAATTCCTGACCAGGAAACTACTGAAAGGCTTTGTTCATATCAGGGTTTTGTAGTTACTTGTCATCTTAATAAAAAACATTGTCATGTGATATAAGAAGGCAAGCATATGTGGGATATAGAAAATAATATTTACATCTGAAAAGATAAGGAAATTTTTTTCAGCTTATTACAATGATGTATCAGTCCTGCTGTATGTGATTAACTTAAATGGACAGCTGAATTTTGGCATTTGAATATTATATTTACTGTAGGCCTACAGTAAACAGTTTGAGCTATAAAAAAAATCTGGGAATCTTGTAGGTGGAATTTGAACTTGTAAGCATCTGTTTTTCTGTGTCTGAATTTGGTATTTTGTCTGTGTAGTTATAATGCATGCAGAGAAGTACAGAAAATGGCATTTCTTCAAAATAGAAATTAAGATCTCTTTGTAGAGAACGATAGATGAAGGTAAATGGGCTGTAATAGAATATTTAATACAAATCATTGTTCTGTAACTTAGGAAAAAGAACAAGCAATAGAGCTCTGGCAGACTGTATTACAGGAGCGTGATCGAATCCAGCAGCAGTACCAGGAACGCATGACTGAAACGCAGATTCACATGGCTGAAAGGCAAAAGCAGAAAGTAATTTTCCTTTCTATCTTTGTTAATTTTGGAATGGCTTTCTATACTGTAGAGATTCTGGGTCTGTGTGTAGTCAAACCGAAGTGAGGGGGTTCTACCAGTACTGATAATTGTTTTCCGTAATAGTCATGCGAAGTTGAGTGGTCAGATGTGGTCACTGATTCATCAGCTAAATGCACCGTTATGATTGGAAAAGTTCTTCATTTCAAATATATGGGCAGGAACATGGGGAAAGCACTTTGTGTTAGTGCATATATATATGTGTATGTGCACAAGATATGCATGTGCATATGCATATAGATAATTGTATGTTTGAATTGGATGGTTGGAAATCTTCAATAGAGTGCAACATCTGCAAAAGCTGCTAAAGATTTCTGAATTCTAAGGTAGAAGTCTTTCATGTTTTCTCCTATGTTTTTTGAATCCTGAAATTTGTCTGGTAAGGTCGAAGTGGGATAGTGGGAAAAGTAGTCTCCGTTTCCTGTTGTCTTTCAGTAAAGAAACGTGTAAACAGATAAAAAATAAAGTTTGCCAGTATTCTTCTAATGCTAGCTTGTGTTTAGCAGCCTGTTTCTCTTCTGCTGTTTCTGGGGAAGGCTTTTCAGGAAATCTTAGTTCAGAAAAGAAGCTGTTTTGCTCTGACAAGCTGTATAAAGATGCTCAGTGTGGGAAGAACTAATAGAAACTTCATGTCTGTAGGTACCTTGCTACAGATATTTCTAGGTCTGTAAAGAGATGCTACAGACTTTTAACTTTTGCTTTCCATTTTCAATTACACTAGACTTGGGGCCACAGTTACGGTTCACCTATGTAACAGAATTAATTTTTTTGCTGATTTCTGTTCTTTTGTGGTATTAAGTCCACCTCAGCAATATGCTCTTTTTTGAGAAACAGGAAAAATATCTGCACAGCTCTTGTGCTCTGTCAAGTTTCATAATTATTTCAAGTAATAGTTATGAGGACTCTTACCTACATGTAGTTCCAACCTTTTGCTCCTGTTCCTTCTATTAGATTATTGTCAGTTACTAGTAACACACACACAGTAGAGCATTCAGAGTCATTTGTAGCTGTTGGAGGATTTAGGACTGTCAGATTCCCCTTTTCATTGGTAACAAAATTCTTGGATTTTAATGCCATTGAAACAGGAATGAGGTTGAGCTGCCTTTTATTCTTAAATGCTACTTGTCTCCCACAGAAAAAGACTTTTCAGTTAAATAGACTTTTTTATTTTAGGTTTTGTTTTCAATGGAGGAGCAGAAAATAGCTATCGGAGGTAAATAGAAATAGGTAAAACCAGCTAGAATTAGAATTGACAGAAAGCAAAGGTGAAATAGGATAGCATTGTAAGGGTTGGACATAGTAAATAAGGGAGTTGTTGGAATAGGTTTCTGGCATATACCTGGCCTTGAGGCTGTTAAACACAGCACAACTAGTAGATATTCCAGCTCAGGGACTTGAGTCCTCTCTATGCTCTGAAGACACTTGGCATGCTGCAGATGATTTCTTTGCTTGTTTGTGTTTTGTGTGTGTGTTATGCTAGTTTTCCTAGGAAGACAGAGTTCACGTACGGAGATTCAAGAACTGAATTGAACAATTTTTTTTTTCTATGGACACAAGACATCCTATATGGCAAAGAGCAAATTCAACGTGTCGATACAGGCGTGTTTTAATTAAGGAGTACATGTCTGTTACTGTCCTTAGCAAAAATGCATATGGTAGCATCATAGTATGTGTGGCTCTTTAAAGGCACTACTCATGTATGCTTCTGTATTTTGACAATATGAGTTTTGGAAGGAGGCAATTTGTAACTGAATGAAATTCAGATATGCTTTTCTGTAGTAAATCTAATTTGCCAGATTACTAGGTCAACAGCTAAAAGCAATCTAATTAACATCTACAGAGGCATATTGAATTTCCTGCAACACGTATAATTTTTTTTAAAATGTTTTCAGTTGACTATGAAACTCTATAGACTCTTTTTGATTATAACGTTTATAAGAAGCTCTGAATCTTCTTTTTAGGATCAACTGACTGGCTTTCAACAGTTGACTCGGCAACTGCATATGGCCAATGAGAAAGTAGAGTTGGTAAGTAAAACCTG